TAACAGTACCAATCTCTCTCTTTCAATAGTTACAATAGTACAATTGATATCATAATTTACTAAGTTATATAACTACGCATCATAATAACACTAATAAAAATTTTAAAACTTTCATCCTACATACATACTATTTATACACTAATCTAGCCTTAGCATTTATGTATTATTATGAATATAGCATATACTAATTAATTAAGCAAATCATAACAAAAATATATATAAATCTCAATAAAAAATATTACAATTAATATAGAGGCGCTATTGGTATCTCCTCTTCTCTTGTAAATCAGTAAAATTCAATTTCACATGATAAAATTTTGCTCAATATTAAATAATTCTTAATTCTAATACGCGTTCTGTTCTATAGATCTGTTCTATGGGTCTGTCCATGATGTCAAAAATACATAAATACTTCGATCGCAGATGTAATAAATAGAATATAGTCAGATTTTTAAATGAATATAATATCGAACTATTTGATAAAAAAATTGACGAATACCTTAAAAGCCTTGAAAAGATTGATAGGGAGGAAAGAATGAGACAAAAAAAAGCATGTCAGCTCCTTGACAGATATCGAAAGGTGTGTAAAAACTTTTTTAGCATAGATAGAAAATAGTAGTGTGATGATCGTAGGCTTCCTTGGCCTTTCGTCATTCAAGACTCTTCACTAAGCCACAAAACTAGTATTAGAGCGTCAGTGACTTTCTCGGTTACTTGCTATTCAAAGGTTCCTCGCCAATTCTAACACCGGGCCTATTGGGATTAGGTAACTTCCTCGGTTACCTGATACTCAAATAGGATGAAATTGAAGTATAAGCAATAATTACTAACTTCCAAATTTTTTATGTTAGAATTCTAGACCAGATTATAAAATCGCAAAATCCTGGAAAAAGGAATGTATATGCAAACAAATTCACCTATACCAACCAATAAGTGAAACTGTAAATGGGTCAATTAACACAGTTAACAGAATCATGAATGGGGAAAAAGTTGGAACCATTAACAAACAAGAAAATCCTCCACTCAGAAGGACACCGAGAAAAATAAGTAGAGTAATTTACACTGAAAACTCAAATAAAGTGAATAATACCAGCAAGCAAACCTACAAAAAAATATCAGATGAAGATTCTGAAGTACGTAATATACTGTTAGTCAATGTTTTCTATTTCATCTATATCTAATTTTCAATATCTAGGTTAATAATGATAATGAGATTGACAATGAGATTAATGAAGATGACAATGAAGATAACTGCAAAGATAACGACGAAAATGACTACGAAGATGATGACGAGAATGAAGATGAGAATATTGACGAAGATGACAATGAGAATAAAGGCGAAGATGAAAACAAAGACAAGAAGGCCAAGAAGAGAAAGAAGTTGAAGAAAAAGTTGATTGATGATTTTATTTTGAGATTTAAGGTGATAAATGCAGATGACAAATGGAAACTTCCTTCGAGCAGATTTGTTGAAGACGTCTTATATGATTGGGCAGTGACCCACCATTCTGAAACGTAGATATACTGCATTCATTGCATTGATTATACTGGTTACTAAATATATATATAATGACTAATTATTTCTTTATCTAAATATTTCATTAAGACTTGCACACTCATTTATATTAGATACTGATTGTCAGAAAGTTATGGATCTGTTTAGTCTTGAGGAAAATGAGACAATTTTAAATACTAATAAAAAGTCTTTTCCGGCCGTACAAGATGATATCAAAAAATATATCATGAAATATTACAAGGTATTCTGTTTGATAAAGATTGACCAAATTGAGATATTTATTCATAAATCTTCTAAACCTCTATAGAAGAATATCAACGATCTTTGAAAAACCATCATGGACTATATTTGAAAAATAGGAAGACCTATAATTCAAAATTACATTATGATTTGGAATGGATTCACTTAACTCATCATTTATATAATATTTCAATCTGTGACTGATATTTTTCTTTATCAATATAGTGTTATTGAATAGAAGCAAGGTATGAATACATTAGCAGAGGATAATTTAGAAGCATGAATTGTAAGTCATGTATGGACTTTTATTGTTGATATGGCATTAAAGGACATTGAAGAAACAAAAATTGGAAAGTACATCATGTATTCAAACAAAAATCATTGTTATATTCTTATAATATTGGTGGTTAAGTGTATTTTCATTTTTACAGATCAGATGGTGGTTCATTTGCATCAAAGATATGCAAAAACAAAAAAAGAAAAATTGAAAAATCTATTATTCGAATAATAAGCCTTTAAAACTGTAATATTATAACATAAGATAATTCGAATTAATTTTTTTTCAATATTAATAGGGCAGGAAGGTTGATATATTACTAAAACTTTGTAATAGCTCAATAGAAATACTAGCTGAAGAGGTAGCTAGGACAGGAGATATTCATGATAAAAAATATTTAGGAGATAGAATAAAACTATTAAAGCTTATAAAAGATATGTTTGATACGATAATTAAATCACTTCCACCAACTACAATTGAAAATTACGAGAGTCTTGAATACAACTTTTTAGTAAGTGAACATTATCTATATTATATAATATATTGATCGACTTTGTTATTAATTTTTATAATTACTTAGAAAATAAAAGCACTGTTTATATTATGGATCACCCTGAAGAAATTATTTCGCGATTAACTAAAAAAGCACAATTAGAAGCCCCTATATATATTGAAGGTTTTCGCAAACTAATTTTGTTTATAATTACAATGTTGGAATTGAAGGTAATACTTTATTATTGAGCTATATATTTCTAATACATATGTACTTATCTGCTTTTGATATTTTCTGATATCTTACAAAATGCAATTCGAGGGATCATCCAAATAATTGAAAAAATAGAAAGCGATGAATTAGAAGTTCAAGTCTTTCAAGAAAATAATACAGGTGTTTGATTACCACTTGTAGGAACTACACCAACTCCTCGAACCTCGCTTGTAAAAAAATAAAAAGTATTAGTAGTATAATCAATAAAGTTATGTAATAATTGGGTGTTGTTATCATAACAAATGATAATTGTGCTCTGTCAGATAAAATCACGTGTGTGAAGATTCTTTATGCCAATCTCTTATTCGCCCAATATTCAATATGTAATGCATTTAAATGTCGCTTATTTTTTGCCGATTTTTTTACTTTACAAGTGAGATCATACTTATATGCTAGCATGGCTAAGGGGTTTGTTCAAGAAAAATGGCAGAATAGATTCAGTTTGAACCAGGCAGAGTTGTTGTACAGAGGAAAAAATTTGGTGCTAGATTCAGTAACATAATTACTAATCTTGTAACTACTCTTTTTTAGATACATGAAACAGTGGAGTGGCCGATCATCCAATAGAATCAAACATATGTCTAGTCTCATTGATTTTTGTATAATGATAGATTTTGTGATCAAAAAAATATAGCGCAGTTTTTATATTAAAAGATTAATAAAATTCATTTGGATATTTAATGCTTAATAATAATATTTTTGGTTTGATTTTAACATCTTTACTCTTTAATGTATTCTTAACAACTTTATGTTTTCAGATTTTACATATCATAGTAAAATTTTTAATTAAAAAATCAATTTAAAACTAGTACATATATAATTTATATTTTTTTTTAAAAAACGTATATTATAAAAATTAGTAAACTATATATAAAGTATAATTATTTTAATATAACTTTGTAAAAGAAGTGTTATGGCTTCTTTTTACCAAGTCTGGTGTCAATTCATCAAGCAATTAAAGCTGAATAACTATTTAAATCTTTTAGAATGTGTTTGCAGTCTTACTTCGAATATAGTTTACTAAATATTGTATAGTTATATATCATAATTTTATAAAAAATTTATTGATAAAAAAAATCTGTAATATTATAAATTTATATAGAACTAGACATATGTTTGATTGTATTGGATGATCGGCCACCTCAATAAAACAGATATAAATAAGTAGTTTTTGTCTCATAAAATAGGTAAACAATAATGTTTTCTACTTGTATATTTTTTTTGAGAGCAAAAATATGTGCTTTTTATATAATTTTTACAATAGAAGTTGAAACATGTATTTTCATACAGAGAAATTTATGAGTTATTAAGTTATATAAGGCTAAAAATAAGACTTAATACTCTGTTATACATATATATTTTGTATATATTTAGGCCAAATAAGGTTTTGGTCCCACAAAATGAAGTCAGAAATATATGTAGTATGAGCTCATTAACCAACTTGGTTAGATTTCTAGAAAATAAAAATGGCATAACAATAAGCCTTGTTATATAGATAAATTTTATATATAGAAATTATAAAAATTACATAAGTATAATAATATATAACAGATAAATTTTGTTTAAACTATCATTACCAAATTGTTAATCTATTTATTTTTAATTATTCAAGAATTTTCATACTCGCATTGCCTATATATTCCATCTACTACTTTTTTGTATGTTTTGCAATATAGATGTGAATAGTGATTGCATTTATCACAAACCTTATACTCATGCTTGTATTCTCTAATGATATACTATTTTATGATGTATTTTTGTTTGTTTTTATGTATAAGTGTGCTATTTTGACCTTTCATTATTATATATTGACAGAAAAAATATAATATAGCTAAAATCTTTTTATTATATAAACCTGTAATATGGTACTTATGTTTGTAGTCTATTTACAAACAAATCTTATAAAGCTAAGATCTAGCATTATATAAACCAAAAAATTTTAAGCAATATATTTGAGATAAGAGTTGTTTACTCACTATTATTATAAAAATTTCAAAAACAAATTTGATATATAATTTATTTGTAAACTGTGAAAAAATTTACTATATAGATTGTGATCCTGAGATTATAATATCACATGATACAAGACACAGTAAGTAAAATTATTTTTGAGAAAATAGATTAATATAGCATTTATTTCATCTTAGCTTAATTTCGAAATTGATAAAGCTGTAATTGACTTAATATGTTGAATCTTATCAACCCCAATTTCAATAAATAATTCATAAATCTTTTGTACTCTTTTTTTTTCTTTTGAAGTAACACTAGTCAAAATCAAAAAAATCAGACATATGTCTTATTCTAAACTAATATATGTCTGATTGTTATTAAATTGCAAATTTGTTATAGCACTGATTGTTACAAATTTATGCAGCAATCTGATTTATATAAAATTATAAAATAGTTAGTCTTGATTTATATCAATTGTTGGTGCAATTCAGTATATAATCAAGAAAGTGCTGATTTTAATAAATTGTTTAATTTTAATAAATATTGGTATATATTAGTATCATTTATTGTATTATTTTATTTAAAAACACTCTTTCCGATGATTCTCTAGGCAACACAACAAAAAATTCAAACTACAGAAAAATGCTATAGAAAGTTTCAAGAAAATTACTATTATGGTCCTGTCTTTGAGTAAACAGTTGTCAACAAAGCCTATAGATATGAAACACCGAGGAGCAGACATATTTTGGGTGGTTTTTCTTGGGGTCAAGTTTTTGCTAATTTGTTGGACTCCTCAAAATATTTGGTATCCAAACCAGAAAGTTTATTCTGGGAACTGAACTTACCTTTGAACAAATTGCTGTCAACGAAGTCGAGAGATGTGAAATACCGAGGAGTGGGCATATCTTATACGGTTTTTCTTGGGGTCAAGCTTTTGTCTAGTTCAGCGGACTTCTCAAGTTATTCGGCATCCAAACTAGAGGGTTTATTCTAGAAGCAAGTAGTGGAAAGGCCCTCGCTATAATAGTAATAGTTTTGGAATCAACTATACGACTGTAAAACTTACAGAAGAACCTCACATACTTTCGTTGGCCCCACTTTTTTTTCGAGAAAATTTTGTAAAAAGTGGGCATTTCAGTTTACTCTCTCCAAAAGATTGACATATTGTTTACTTTTCAAATCAGGCGATATTATTTACTTGCATTTACCTGTCACAACAAACATGTGAAAAAATACTTAGTAGTGGGCATATAATTCTGTGCCTTGAAATTGGCGACCCAGACAAACAGTGCTTCGAGCCTCTTAGTATAATATTCTGATCTCTCTACGATGCCAATGTCAAAGAAGCTTTCCTTTTTTTTACTTTTTTTTAGATTTTTAGCTTAGACATACTATTTATATAAATTAGTATAGAGAATAGTTTAAATAGTAGTATGTAATTTTTAAAGAGCCTAACACAGGCTTATAATTGTGACCGTCCATCTTCTTTTAGTTTATTTTTTCTTGTAATTCATTTACCCTCTTTATTTCTTTTATTTGTTTTTTTTTTACGTTTTCCCCTATACCTCTGTGTTTTTTTTATAAAATTTTTCTTTTTCTTTCACTTCTCTATGAGAAGATATTATCAGATTAGCAATATTCTATTGTAGGGCAGTGGTCAGATGAGCCCCCGGTTTGGGTATTATCTTTATGGTTATATCTTTCCAGTGTGGCATGGTTATCTGTAGGTACGTGTAGGTAATTGATTAGGTTATGTAAAGCAACCGCAGAATATCAGAACTTCAACTTTAATGCCATGTATTCTCTATCTTGATATACACTTATTAAATAAAAGTTACTGGCGTGATCTGCCAAAGTGAAAAAAAAAAAAAAATTTATTTATTGATATACACAAAAATAGCAAATAAAAGTCAAAAAAAAATAAACAATACTAATACATTTTTATTGTCTGTTATATAGTGATATATATATTGCACAAATAGTAAATTATAAGTATGAGAGAGACAGAGCTAAAATGATACATAGTGTACGCTAGTTATTTACTGTATCACTGCCTATTATTTGAAGTATCTTTTTTGATACATCAAATTTATTAATATGAATATTTTAGTTTAATGATAGAAATAAAATAAAGCAATAAAAATTAATTTAATATGAATCAAGAATGATACTTATTAAATATCGAGAATGATGCTAAAATCAGATGATGCTGAAATTCATGTGATCACATAATGATTTCTATATAAACAAACCTAAAGTGCTTATAGTGCCCTAGCATCACCAACTAAAAAATTTCGCTATTAATGTTAGGGTTTGGGTTTGGGTATAACCATATTTTAATTATTCTAGTAGAATTAGATGTAATATATGTAAAATCAAACCAAAAAACCTTTTATACCTAACTCTAACTCTAACACTAACAGCAATAGTAATACTAGGTATTTATACAAAAGATCATCATATGATCATGTAAATTTCAGCATCATCTGATTTCAATATCATTCCTGATATTCAATGACTAGTGTATACTATATGAAAATAAAAAAAACTTTTATCGCAAAGAACTTAGTCCCTGAAAAATAACATACCAAATTGATAATTGTATTATAATAATTTTCTGAAGCTAAAATCACAATAAAAATTAAAACTTTGATTTTTTTTTATTAGCTATTCACTATTCCTCTAGTTGTTGTTGATATAGTACTTTTTTTTTATTTCTAGTATTGTCAGTATCTATAATTTTTTTTTAGCCAGTACTATACTTCTTTTTTTCATTCTGGTGCTATAGTTTCTGATATATAGTTGCTAGATAGATATCAAAAAAAAAATATAAAGTGTTTACTGGCAATATAATTCAGAAAAGACAGATCATATTAGTAGAAAATATAATTATATTATTACTAGAGACTGTTTAGATTATTGCTAGTATTTAAGCTTTTTGTTATTAAGTAATTAAGTTGTAGTTATGTATTTATTTTTTAATTTTTTTTATTAAGTTTTAATTGAATTGTTATTTAGTTATTACTAAAGCAGTAATGTGTTAGAAGCAATTTAGATCAGCTAGAATCAGTTATTAATCCTAATCAGAAATGCTATCACTATAGGTTAACTCTGTAGAAGAGTGCAAATGAAGACAGATAAATAGAATTAATTAACTTCTTAATTCAGAATCACAACA